CAGGTCCCCAAAAGGGAATTTATGATGTTGGAAGGTACACCCCCTACATATATCTGGCAGGATACTGGTTTTTCTCTTTATAGATTTTTTACTAGTTAGAATACCTATTCCATTAACTAGTAGTACAGTTGTTCTTAAGAAGTGATTATGTTAAATGACCAATAAAAAATAAAGTTGTTAGGGAACCCTAAGATAAAGATTGGCTGACATTTCTTTAACAGTAATGGAACCAGCCAGCACAGGGAAGGTCTATAATATCTAGACCAAAATAACAGTGTCTTGTCAGGAATTTGGAGGCTGGTGTGAGGGCAGTGAAAAAGGTGGCTGAGGAAAGATGTCTTTGGAGGATGGGGTAGGGAGGAATGCAGGAGGATTTCCGTATATACCAAGTGTTGTACATGAGCCAAGTGCACAAGCCACTTTGTCTGGTCTTCCCAGTGTAAGATTTTTTGTTCAAGAAATTTGGAAGTCTGTTTGATTTCCATGCAGATCTCTGGGAAAGCTGTCGTCTTCTGTTGGCTTAAGGAATGTCACTTGGATTCTGCTGGTAGTTACTCTAGGATCTTTATGAGCTTCCAACCAAGGTTGATTTTTCCTTAGGAAGTTCCCACCAGGGTTGATTTTTCCTTTAAGAGACTATCCATTGTCCTTTATTATCCCTGGTTTCTGTGTCAGTGACGGATTTGAAGCAAGAGATTCTGAGACTTGTCTTCTGCACACCCCATCCTCATCTTCAGCTCTGACCTTTACATCTTGGATACACCTGGAGGTTTGTCACAGAGCTCTTGGGGGATTTGGAAATGAAATTACACAGCACTAAAGGAGAACACAGAAACTATAAAAACACTTCACTCGTTAGGAGTGAAGTGACAGGAAGCAGTGTTAGAGACTGAATCTTTCCAATTAATTTTCCTTTCAGAGCTCTCGACATTTTTAATTCTAAATGTGTGTGAATGCTTTGGCAACATTAGATGTGTCTTTCAGAAGAAAAGAAAACCTTTGACAAACCTTCTGAATCTCTTGACTGAAGAATAATAATGCCCTGATTGTTTTGGTTCCTTGTAGTTGGGTGGGAAAGATGGTAGTGTGAATGATGGTGGGAATGTACATTTGCAGAGAGCTTGTGGCTTACATTAATAGTTGTTAAGGTTATAAAATGAGATGCTTTTCAGGAGCTCAGGTAATAAGCAGAAGTGAAACATGAGCTTTTTGTACAGCGAATATAAATAATTCTTTCTGTGGCTCCTAGTATTTCTTACGATCTAACTGTGAAGAGTGTTAAACGGGAAATGTTATTGTTCCTTTATAAAACGTGTTTTTGTCTATTTATCCATTCAAAACAGACTAAAATGTAAATCTGTAAAATGCTTTCCATCTTCAAAGCAGCTATTTATATTCATCTAAATTCTGAAATCTTTTTGAAACTTTCATTTTTATTTCTGATTGTGGGATTTAGTGTCACTTCTTAGCACATTGAATACTGATGGCTTTGAACATACGGCATGGCACAAAGCGATAACTTGGCAGTGCGCACTGCCCTGCTGAGAGACAATTCTAAAGGAAAAGTGATTTTTATGCTGGGGTTTTGGCTGATTTTAGAATTAAGGGAAATATTAAAGAGCATTAAAAAAATCTTTTAATTCATCTATGCACCAGTAAATTGCTTGTTATGTTATTTATCCAAGTAACAGCTACCTGAGAGCAGAGTCTGCTTTCTGAAGCTGTTCTCTGCATAGTGGCATACTAAAGCCACTAAGGGACTGAAATCATAATACAAGTGAACAGATGAGTTTTGCAGTAGAGAGTGTTATGCTTGACTGGGTCTGTGCACACTTACCAAAAACATATGTAAAGGAAGACAAGTATTAGAATGACTTAAGAGAATTGGGCTTTCTAAACCCTACTGTGTCATAAGGTAGAAGACAGAATACGGGGTTTCCGTCAGAACCTGGGTGAATCTGAGAAAACACCATACTTCAAAGTATTTCTATGGGAATAATTGTAGTTACTGTAGTTACTGTAAAGCCTGATACTAAATCAGAGTGCAGCATATTCCCTTAAGCAGGACAAGCAGGTGTAACATTTTGAGTTGGAAATGATTGTTGAAATGGTGATACATGAAAATACCTGTAGGATTATATGAAGCAGATTTTCTTATTCTTGAAACTATGTTTTCTCTTCCTGCATTTTCTTACATCTGTTTAAATTCACTTTTGTTCCGACTGCAAGATGATATTGGTATCTAGTTACTCCCTCATACTTCTTTGTATCTTGCAGGTAGACAGTACATCATCACAGATTCTTATGGGGCAGTCGGCCTTATTAAGTTACCAAAATTACTACAGGTCACAGCTGAGATGCATTAGTGGAATTTAATAGGAAAGCTTGCCCAATATAGGCTCTGTTGTTCTTACTGCTTGTTACTGCTTTCATAAGAAGCACAGGACATTATTGAAAGATATGTTTATGAAATATACAGTGCAGTACAGCTACACACCAGGTTTATGCCAAATTAGGTCTTGAACCTGAATGGATTCAGGCATCTGCTGCAGTGTAGATTACAGTTCACTGTGTGACCTCACACATGTAGGTTGGCCTCCTCCTGGCTTATTTAATCCATCTGCAAAATCGAGAAAAACAAGTACCTCCATGAAAAAACAGGTATGCATCTGGGCCCAACTGTCCTGGGTAAATAAATGACAGAGAAGGCAGTGGCTCAACTGAAGGGATAATAAAGAGGAAATGTAAGTCTCTTTGTCTCCTACACACATTTATCATTAACTTTGTGGCTACTGTGTTTACATTTATTGGGTATGTTCAGTCTCACTGGACTTCCAGCAGAACAGATCTGGGGTCATCATCTTTCCTGCAATTCAGTACATGAGGAGCACTATGTGGTTAGTCTTATTGGAGGGAACATAGGCAGCAGGCTTTAGCGACTTGTGAATGAATCAATAAAGCATGTTCCTGTAGGTTTCTGAATTGTCTCTCATTAGGAATGGAATTGGGCAATGGAAGATCAATTTTTGTGGCAAATCAGAGGTTTTTTAGCAGTCCTTTATTTAGACTGTGGATTTTTTGAGTCATAAAGCTTCATCAAAAATACTATACAGGATTTAAGCTGCAACAAGAATTGTAAATAGTTTAAATATCCTTTTTCAGAACACTCTTGTTGAACTCAAAATCACATGAGACCCAATCCCCACAGTTAACTAAATCAGTGGAAAGCAGCTGAGCTCCCACAGCTGAGGAACGTGGCTTATGGAGTACCTGACATGATGTCAGTAAGAGTTACCCAAAAAGGGAACTGTTGTCTAAGGATATAACTGAGAATTGTGTTACTGTGTATCAGAATTGCTTACAACAGCTCTTGACAATTGAGGTGTGTGACATAATTAAACTCTGCTTGAAATAGAGTCATGCTTTGGAATCATCTCAAGTAATTATTGTACAGGTACAAAACAGGCTTAAGTTTTGTCAGAGAGGTGTTTTAAATCTACAGGTTTTTTGCTTCATCACCATGTGGCTGTGAAGTTCTGAAGAAACTTGCCTTTACAGATGCCATTCTCTGAAAATTCTTTCCCTGCATGGCACATATAGGCTTAATTAAGTGTAGTAGTATCACCTTGACAGAATGGTTTTAGAATAAGTGTAACTTGCTTATGGATAATGCAACGTTCATCTGGGAACCTCTGCTTTTAGTACACACACGTGCCTTCCTAGCATCTTGAACCAGTGTTAGTTTCATGGTCAGACTGGGGACAGACAAGGACAGTGCTGCATATGCAGTTCTTAATTTTTTAACAGGCTCATCAGGTAGGAATTTGTATTTGCAAATCCTGAGGGAGCTGGGGAAACATGGATGAGCCACACTGCTGAGCACTAGACAAAAATCAGCTGAATCAAAATCGAGAGCCATGTCAACAGTAATACTTAGAAACACAGAGCTTTATTAAGAATTGATAAATTGCCAGGCATTACTTTCCACATAGATAATGTTGTAAGATGTTGTCTATCAATAAGGCACTACATATTCCAAAAGAAGTCTAAACCAAATATGCTATCTTAATATGTATCATTACCTCTTACATGTACTTAGCTTTAGCTCATGTCTGCATACCTGCAAAAGATAACAGTGTTCTCCAGTCATTCTCTTGAGAAGCAGTTACATTAATTTTCTGGTAATTATGATGTAAGAATTCATTCATGTTACCTACACGTAAAGAGTCATTCATTGCTTGGCACAAACCTGGATCTGCCCTGTTGTTCCCTTCTTGGGGTACCTCCATAGACATTCTTCCTAGCTGACTGCAGAAGCATGTAGAGTTATATTTATCCCCAAAGGGTGCCCATAAATGCTATACATACAAAATTAAAATGTTACAGCTCTGCTTGTGGTGCAGTAATAGATGCTGGTGGTACAGTGCCTTAGTGGGTGGTTTCTAGTTCATTTTTCTGTTACACAGTCATAATTTGTGATCCTGTGTTAGCATTGTTCTGTCAGCCTCAGTGGTCAGGAACTAACTAAGGATGGATGAACTTTGCAGGATCCTAGAGGTGGCTAAGGTAAGAGAAATCTGAATAGTTTTTCAGACCTTAATGAGAGGTGGACTTTTCAGGTGAAATATTTTCCTTTTCAGTGGTGTATCAACTTTTGCAGGATGCCTGTGCTCTCTCTAGAACAGAGCATTCCTTAGTTAGGGAGAACATCAGCAGATGTTTCTGAGGGATTTTCCTAAGCAGGGTTTTAATACTGTCTCTGAGGTCCAGAGGAGAACGTGGCTTTAGCCATGTAGAATTCTCTGAATAGGTTCATAATGTAGTAGCTACAATCAAGGGTTTGTCACACATTAGAGAGGAGTAAGATACTGATGATTATTCATTGTCATGTTTACAGAAGAGGTCTCGCTGGAGACAAACTGATAGCTACCACACTGGGGGACTGTTTCTGGACTCACTTAAGGTGAATTGGTGTACATTATTTATTTTGATTTTCACAGGATTCATTGCAAAGAAGGCAGAAACTGAAGACTTTATTCTTTCTTACTCAAGAAAAATACCTGTTCAAGTCAGCAAGTAGTTTGTTTGAGTGAGGGCAGTGAAACTAGTCCATAGTGGAAATTTTTTAAAAAGAGAGGTGAGTGATATTTTTCTTTCAAAACTTGAGTGTGGTTAAATGGAAGGAAATGGAAAATCTGGTAAGTGGGTTGCCCTAAAATTAGAACCATCCCTCAAAGCTGTGGGCAAGTGCTTTCTGTGTTAAACTAGTCATCGTTTCCTTATGAGAGTGCCCCAAAGAGGAATGTATTTGGATCTTCTCAGGAGCAACATAGGAGATATCCTTGATTCTGGACTTTGATGAATCCTTCATGGTAAAAAGACATGCCAAGGGCATGAATGTATGTGTGCGATTGCTTGCATGTTTCTGAATGGTAGAATTGCTCATACCTCTGAGTCCAGCTCATCCAGGTTGTAGGGTACCAGCACCTCCATGGGACCAGAAAACGGACTGCCAAAGCGCTGTGTAGCAAAGGGAAGTAGAAGTCAGTGAGTGGGAGTGACAGCCTGCCAAGCTCAATTGAGATGAGCTTTTTAAGTGTGAGGTAATAAATGTTAGTGTAAACTGCTGAGAGAAGATGATGGATTTTCCATTTAGAGATTAAGACTGGAAGTATTTCAGGAGGGTGTGTTTTAGTCAGCTAGGAAGTATGGGTATTGATGTAGAGGTAACAGAGAAAAAATCTGACGGTAGAAGTTCTGACCAGAATGTTTGATGGCCCCTTTAGATCTTAACATTTTAAAAAATGTTAAACTGAAACCTCTCTATGTTAAGGTTTGAGTGGCACATCTTGGTGCACTTGTAAGCATCCCAAGCAGCATTAAGGTTTCAGATGGAATTGTAATGTTTGTGTGAACCCATGTTGCCTACCTGAGGACAGTTGGCCTTGTGTAATGGAGATATCCAGTTGACATGAGCAGTTAAAAAAGCAATGTAATGTGGATGAAAAGGAGGAGGAGTGGTGAATGTTAAAAAATATCAGACTGTCATAGAAGGATAATATTGTATTTTGGCTTTAGTTCCACAGATGGGCGTTTAAAACCCTCATATAAATCCTACTGAAGTGAGGGGCTGAGTGAGTTCCACTGACTTCAGTGGGATCGTTTTGAAGAACTGGATAAGTGATTCTTAGTGGACTGGGACAGAGCAGCATGCTACTGACAGTATGGTCATATTTTCTGTCTAAGGCTCTTTTTCAAGCCCCAATAAAATTTGAACCACAAAAGAAAGTACATAGTAAGAACTTGAAGTGAAGAAAAAAAAATGCAGAATGAAAATTCTGACTCTTGTGCTTCCCCTTCCTCCTTTAAGCCTCATGTGGACTTTGCATGAGCCTAGGACATGCACATGGAAGTGGTTCCCAGTTAGTGGTAAAGAGCACTGTGGAGCCATAGGGTGAAATAGGATTAGGGCCTTTACCGGAATAATGCCACTTCCTTCTGGATAGAAATACTTGCCAAAGCTTGTCCTTGGGTTGGTATTTTTGTTAAAACAGAACATCCAACCAGCCATGTTGAACTATGCTATTTTAATGTTCTTAGGCAGAAGTTCAGGTCAGTTTAAAAAAAGTTGCATTTTAACTTTCTGTATAGAAAACTAAAGCATTTCAGTTTAAGAGATCATGTCAAAGTAAAAAAATAAGTATTTACCCAAAGCAAAGGTCTTTTGCCATTTCATTTCATGGAAACATGGAGTTCCTTAGGCATTTACAGTGTTCTGCGACAGCCTTCTTACTTACACAGAACTCTTGGTTACTTCCCAGCTCTGCCTTAGAGGTTCGCAGGTTGGTATGGTTCACAATTATCACAGCAATTAGTTGATTACCATAGCAATATTTTTATGTCTTATTGTCATATTCTAAATACAAAATGATTCCGGCAAATATTCTTGGAGAGGTTTGATGGCTGATCTGCAGACTGTGCACAGTGTTTGCTTACATATTTAAGCTACTAGTATTTCTAGGAAGCTGTAGTTTATTAATTCATTATTATTTTATTGATGTTCAATTGATGTCTTATTAAATGTAAATTAGATATTTGGGAATAATAATTTAATGGGACGAGGCAGGTGAGATTCCCCCAGGGTAGTTTGTAATGAAGCTTCAAATTGTTAATAATCCTAAACTCATAAATAAATTATTAAGGATGAAGCAAATGCAAAAATACTGAAATAAGTATGAAAATGTTAAGTGGTGGTGAACAGACCCATGATCTGCTGGGAGATCTGTGTGATAATATACATTTGGCACTGTCACGTAAGTCAGAATAACGTCAATGCTCCCCACTCCTTCCAACCGTTTAATATTTAGACACGTATCTATCCCTTGTATCCCATTATTATGCTGCGCCATTCTGTTCGCAGACATTTTGCTTTGCCTGGGAACAGTGTTAATTTAATACACTCAGCTGACCTCGGAGGCACTGAAATGACACGGCAGCAGCAGTCCAGAGCGCTGCAGTATATCCTGCTGTTAGCAGAACTGGTGGGGAGACCGTGTACTTTTCTGGACAGTTGTCTGCGAACTCTTTTGGGAAAAGGGAGGGGGAATTGGCTCTTTGACCACACTGTAACTGTCGAGAAGGACACATCCTCTCACTTAGCTGTTGTGGAAGACACGTTTTCCAGTTGCCTCTCTGTTTTTCTTGAAGAGTTAGCAAGGAGACCATAGGTCTGTCTCTGATAAGAAAAGAAAGAAAGGAGAACCTACCCTTATGTAAGAAAAGAACAGATGTAGAGAGGGAGAGGATACTGTTAGTGCAAGTATTTTCTGGTTTGAGTTTTTATTTTTGGAACCCCAAGCATCCTGCAAAGGTCTTAAGAGATCCAAAACCCCCTGTTTCTTCAGTAAAAACATCACCACTATCTGAGCCTTTAAAGACAGAGCTAAGTCCCAAGGGAGTACTAGTATCTGTGTTTAGTACTCCCTGCAGTAGCAATTGCAGAAACTCAGCACTTTGTAAAATGCTGCTGGTAATTTGAAGAGTTAAGTCATGCAGCAGGTTATTAAATGTAAAGAAGCTAAGTGCCTAAAATTAATTTCTTGATATTTCTGTCAGTGACAGTAAGGGATCCAAGAATTCTGGAAATCTGGCCCTGTGATCATAGTGTTACATGTAAATAGTGGTGACACATGCATTCAAATAGGGATTCCGATGTATCCAAGGTGGAATTTTGGCCCAAAGTCATTTGGGGGAGCTTGAGAGATGGTTTTCCCCTAATGTTAAAGGTGAGGACACTCTTGTTACTTGTGGTATTTTTGAAAAAAACCTCAATTAATGTTTTTTTTAGAAAATGAACAGAGATGGCTTAATCACTGGCTTAGACATTCACCTAAAATTATATTCCAGGAATTTGGTGGTTATTCCATGAATGGCTGGAGGAGTTGCAAACTAGAAATCTGACTTAATACGAGGTATAGAAAAAAGGCAAATATGCTGCTTTTCTGATGAAAGACCTTGGTTGCTAGGAGGAAGTATTCAAGTGTATGCTTATGCTTTGTTGGGGTTTTAACAGTGCGGAATAAACAGATAACACTGTGACTTTTAAATAATGTTTTCTTAAATAGTGAAACTATAACCTAATGAAGAAATTGCAGTAATCTCATTTCTTACAGAGATACTGTAATTCTCAATTTTTAAAGTGCTGTATTTTTCAAACACAGATCTGTGGGCTAATACATTTTTATATAGTTTTAATTAGAGATTTTGAAATTAACTTGCTGTTGTAAAACAGAAAATACGGATGCGACTTCCTAACAGGATAGGGATAGAGAAGTCACTTGTGTGATTTGCAGCATCCATAGCAAAATTATGTTCTTTTTGGTAGTTGTGTATGGTTATTCCTGTGCATCTGCCAGGAGACCCACACATACAGAAAACTGATCTGGCTTCCCTCTGTCTTCACTCTTTCCCTGATGTGCCAGTCCAGCATGGTCTGGTGGAACTGCTGGCAAGTTCCTGTCCATACAGTCGCTGATGCTTTTCTGGGGAACCACATTAAGCAATTGCTTGGGTCACCAGATGCCTGCTCCTCCTCCTTCATGTGTCTGCACAGGCTGGGCTTGGAAGAAGGTCCTGCCCTCTTCTTGACGTTGTTTGCACACTCCCCAGATTTCTTGTGACTTATGTCAGCGTGACAAAAAACCCTTCCGAGGCTCTGCTTGCTGCCACAGATGTAGGAGTGCTGTGACAGATGAATCAATGGTTCACAGGATCCCTGCCACTTTCTCATTTAGGAATTACAGAAGTCTCAAGGCTAGTTTCACATTTGGGGTTTGTCTTTTTGCTTCTTCTTCTTCTGCAGCTTTTATGCAGACAAAGATGGTGTTATAATTGAGAGACTTTGTCTAAGAACGGAAAGATTAAATAGGCATTATGTAGGCATTTAAGCTGTTTGGGGCCATAGGTGCCTCTGGTGTGTGTATATAAAGCTGGGCTCAGGGATTGTAGCAAACATCCTGCAGCCTCCAGAGACACCTACAAGTCTGTGCTTCTGTGTTTGCCCTTGTCTCCCTTTGAAGTGCTACTGTACTGTTGTTGCTGCACATCTTTATTCAAAGTTACACATGGTGAGGTGGAGTAGAGGATAAGGTTTATAATAACTGGCAATCAAAATGAAAGAGGAAACAAAAGAAAAGAGCAATAATGCAAGACTATCATTAAATGCCTAATATAATTTGTCAAAGGTGTTCCTTCTAAATTAGATGGAGGCAGCATTTTATCAGATCAATACTGCCTAAGTGACTCCAGTACAGTCTTGGTAGTTTTTGGCGAACAAATACGAAGAATTGTGGTACGCCCTATGCTTAAACAATAAGACCAAAGAACTTAGTGAATTAGTAACCCTTGGCTGTGGTCAGAAATCCCTGTAAAACTGGGATTGTCAATGTCCAAGGATTGGAGCTGATACAAATCACATATATGGCCTGATTAGCTATGAAGCCAGCCTCGTAGATCAGTCACAGCCAGAAGTGCAAAGCTCAACAGCAAACTGAGCTCACTAGTAAATATTATAGCCCAAGGAGTACATGCCCTGGTTCTTGGTGATGTTAATGGAAAAACATCTGTTGACTTCATTTGGAGTTTGAGCTGCCTGTTACAGGAAGTGCTTTAAGTATTTAAGCTAGCTGTTGGCCATCTTTATCTGCACATCTTACCCAGCCCAATTCATTTAATTACCAATTTACTCAGTGTTACTGTGGTGCAGCTCTAAGTCAAATACTGTGTTTTATTTCAAAATATAAGGTGGGAATAAAGAAAGCAGGTACCATACAAGAGAGTGGTAACCTCATAATAGGAAACAGCATTTCAATTACGTTTGCAGAGGGGGAATGATATTCTAGGTGTTTTCTGTATCAAAACATCATAGTAGCAGAAGTAAGCAGCTCGTTGTTTCTTAATTGGCTTTCATTAGACTTCACTGTGCAGTAGGAGTCCCTGGCTCTGGTATCACACTTTATCTGTGGAGATGAAGGCCTCGTAGACTAAGCAAACCTTAGAAACTTGCCCCAAGACCAAATAAGCAGTCTTGGGACCAGGATCCAGGATCCTGATTCATAGCCAGCTCAGCTTACACTTGAGACTGGACTAAATGTGCCTCCCCAGTGTCTCCTAGAAGGAAAGAGGCATACGTACGCATGTCTACAAACCAGTGCCTCTCATGCCTTGCTGAAGACAGCTCTGCAGTAGGAAGGTGCATCACAACTGCATTTTTTTTGTGAGGAGAATATGCTAATTTTTGCTGCAACAACTGTATATAACCTGACAATTATTCTTTCCAGTCTCTTGGGTTAACTTTATCTGTGGTTGAGTTTAGAATTCCCACATGATTATGTAATAGGTACCAGATACCTGATAATGTTACAGGCCTTTTCTAATTTTTTTTAAAGCTATATTAATGTAATTTCTTAGGTGTCATCGTTTCTTTTCCAGCATCAATCCATTGTGAATCATGCACAGACAGCAGAGAAAGAACAGAACCTACCGCAGCCTTTGAGCAGCAAGAAATTTCAGCTGGATGACTGCATAAGGGGTTTGCAAGACCGCCAGTAATTTTTTATATTCAGAGTTAAATAGAGCAATAAGATGGAATTTAAGCTTTAGTGCAATGGATTGCAGCTCTTCAGTCAATCAAATTATAGTTCAATCAGTTCATTTTAATCACTTCTCTGGAGAGAAGTAAACCCCTATGTTGAAGAATATGCAGCAATTTTATTGATGGAAAGTTTAATTGTTTCATTTTTCCTACCGTCTGTAACACACTAGACTTTTAATCAGTGGGAACTGAAGTTATAATGAAGTAAAGTCCACTTTCCACAGTTCACAACTAGCTGAAAATAATTGGGTTGAGACTCCCATCCAGACAGTGTAATGCCTCTGGCATTTTCCTGAAAACTACACTTAATTGCTTTGCTGATGTTGTTAAGTGGTCCTGAGGGGGATGAAGTAGTAAAGCTGCCCACATATGCAGGGAAACAATACACAAAAAATGTCTTACAAGGTCCTTAAAGGAGGACCAACTAGTGACTAGAAGACAATATATGGCTTTTTTTTTTTTTCTTTTCTATACCAGAGAGAACACACAGGAGAGGCTGATAAAATAAACTGTGGAAATTCTATAAACACTAACAGTATTTTTATTTAAGGGCAGAAAGCTTGGGACTAGAAGTACAGAAAACATGAAGGCAGACCTCTTGCAATCAAATCTGCAACTTAAGGCTAGCCCAAGTCACTTGGCATTTTTATGCTGAGTGCCAGTTAGCGTGCTGCCTGTCTTCAGCACCTTGGGCTGAGGAACAGATGTACTCTTGTCCCCAGGGAAGGAGGACAGCTCGCTCTCTGTGCTCTGAAGTGACAGGATGTGAGCCAGCTATGAGCTGAAAGCCTTGTCCAGGCGTCAGTAGGACCAGAGAGTGTACCCCATTAGGCTCTAAACAGAGCCAGAGAAGGAGTAACATTTTGGAATTTCTCCTTATTTAGTGCACTCATGGGAAACCCTCCTCAGTTGAATGGTGTTTGTTTGAAATGATGAATCAACTGCTAGACTTAAGGATATTCTGATGCAGAAATATGTAGTAGAGAAAAATATTTTTTTAGGACATGTGAATTGGGTAGTGCCCATGAACCCATTCAGGGTTGGAGCTGGAGCTGTTTTGGGGAAGTGAAGACAATAGGGCTAATTTAACTTTAAGCAAGTGTGGTTTTTTTCTCCTTATTTACATATTCAGGCACAGCAAAGTCTCTCTCAATAGCCAGACCTTCCTCAGCTGGTATCTGTGTAAACTTCAGTATGGCCTTTGCTTATTTTACTCTTGCTTTCAGAGGCCCTGAACTAAAGCAACTACCCTCCTGATGAGTTTCTAGAAAGGAATGTAGGCAAAAATTTAGTCAGTGAATTCTAAAGCTGAAATCTTGAAAGTACCCTTAACCCTGCCTTGGACTCGGGGCCCTGCAAGAGCCTCCAAGTTGGTACCGCAAATTCTGGCCAGCAGAGCTCTCCCAGCACCTGAAATGATGTTTTTTTCTGCTGAAATATGCTTAAGGCTAGATGGATCTTGAGTACTTTGGCATGTAGCCCCATGTTAGCCTGCCCAATCCCCATAATATTAATAAGCTTTAACACCTATTTCTCCTATGGTGGAATAGTAACCTCCTGTGTGCTGGAAGCGCCAACCATATGCCAAGGAGATCAAGCCGTCAGTTTTGAGCATAGCACTGGGAGTAGCCCGTTGTGTCTAATTTACTCTGCTTGTGTACCTCTGGGAGAGCAGCTCAGCAGCAGCAGTGGTTGTGCTCTGCTGTTCCTGGGGTCCCTCTGTGAGATGAGTAACGTGGTGCGGACTAGTTCTGGCAGTTGCAGCAAATGAGGACTATGTTGTGACAGTTGATGGGAGACTCTGCTTGGGTATTGTACTCTTACTGATGCTGAAGGGCTGCAGGAACCAGGCCAAATCTTCAGAGGGAAAAACCAACTTGATGACGCTGGCTGAAATTTGCCACTGTGTTGACTGGCTGTTTCAGAGGGTATTCCTCCCTGTCTCAGGGGGTGCTCTCCCCTGACCCACCCTTTGGAGGCTGGGCCGCTGTCCCAGAAGGAGGGGTGCTTCCAGGAACTGTAACACAATGCTGTGCACCACAGCTGCCAGCTGGGCCTCATTTCTAAGCAGACCTGCTTGATGGGTCTTGCATGCTTTGAAGTCTTACCCTGGGTCTGGATGGAAACGAGGGAGCAAATGATTTGACGCAGTCTCCTGATTGGACATACGGTATGGTTACTGTCCTCCAGAAGAAATCCAAAATACATGTTGCTGTACAGGCACAAATCTGACTGTTCCCCTCATAAACTGTTCTTGTGGAAGGGATACAGTTTGCATGATTGTCATCAAAGGCAGTCTATATATTCATTTGTGGAAGCATGTCAGACACCATATGTCAGTAATGTGCCTTTGATATGTTGGTGTCTGAATTATTTTTTAACAGCTGAATGACATATGTTAAAATGTAAACAGCTGTTCTGTGTTTGTACTGTCTGTATTCCTTATTACTGTATTTTCTCTTGACTAAGGGTTTGATTCAAATTCAGGAAAAGTGTGGGATTCAGCCTATTTTTAAAGAAATGCAGTTTTTGTAGTATTTCGGCGTGTAGCCAGTGTGTATCTTTTCACAGAAAAAAACAATCCATGTAAGAGTGTAAATTGTTTTTTCCAGAAACTTTTCTGATGCAGTTAAAGAACTTGTAGTGTAATATATGACTTAATAAAGGAATGAAATAATACAATGTCTGTTAGGCTATTTATTATACATGGGTAAAACTGAAAACCGGTGTCACAACAAAGAGATTCAAAAGCAGTTATTGCAGCTGATCATTCAGACGAGCTACTGGAGCACCATTCAGGATGCTACAACCAGCACAGAAGGCACAGTTTGGTCAGAAGTAATGAACACTATCTTACTATTCCAGCAAAATGACAAGAGACATTACAAACCAGCTGGGAATACCTGGAGAGTCTAGAGATCAGTGTCTAATGCTCACGTGCAGGAGGTGCCTGAGGAGCACTGCAGAGTGAGCAGCCGTGGGACTCACCAGCGTGGTGGCAGGAAGAGGCTCTGGAAAGAAGCAACCACAGAGGCAAGTTGTGCACAAGCGGAGTTACAGGTACTTCCTCAGTAAATGCTTCAGCTGAGCAGATGATCTTGCTCTCATGAATGACCCTTGACTGCTGGTTTCTATTCTTTTGGTAAGAACTCACCTAGTTTAGCAACAAATAACAAACATCAGCTCTTGATGGGCTTGCAACAGTCTGGTCTTCATATGCTGTTTATATGGCCTGGCTCAGGCCTTAAAAACGAAAAAGCAAATATCCATCCCATATAAAGTATGAAAATTAAATCTGTCTGAATCTCAGAGCTTCATATTATTGTCACAGAACCGAAGCATTTCATAGCCACAGCTTAAACCAAACCAAACCATGAAAAGCTGAGTGATGTTGGAGCCACCAGCTAGTTAGTAAAAAAATGACCAAAGTAGCCCAAACTGCACCTTCTGCAATGGCAAAGCCGATGCAGGGGCAAGAGGCCAGGTAAGCCGAGGTGCCTCGGAATCAGTGCCATCTTGTGGCACTCCGGCATAGCGAAAACCCCCCGAGCGACAATAACTGCAAATGTCCTCAGAATCAACCACAGTTCAGAAAAACTGTGCGTGGTAAATGATACAAACCACAGTAAGGATATGTAAATTTGGCTGTAACTTCTGCAGTTGTGCATGGCGCGGCTCACAGCACCTGAATGATTAATGAGGCAAATGCCTACCAATTACGGATCGCTGAAGGTGCACAGTGAGTCGCATGTAATTATAAATCCTGGGAACAGATGGGAAATTCTGCAGCATCAGAAGCCTGCTCCTTATGAGGGGGGTCCTGCTCTGTGCGGGGCGCGGCCGGGGTGGCTGCGGTGCTCCCATCCGGACCCTGCCCTGGGCCCCGGCAGCCGCCGGAGCCTTGCACCCGGATTTCCCACGCTGCTGGCTGCAGGCAGGGCCGAGCTGTGCTTAAAACACCCAGATGAAACCCGGTGGAGCAGCACGAGCTTGCTTTTCCGAGTCGGGCTGCCTCTGCGTGCCTTCCCCAGGGTCGGGCACTTCACACCGCATCGCTCGTGCCTGGCACCGGCCTTAGCCCCGGCCCGCAGAGGCAGCTGCTATCGCTGGCTCGGTTTGAAGAAACAAACAAAAAAATCCCCCTAACACCTATCCTGCTCTCCCCAGACACCCAAATAGGTGGAAAACACCTGTAGCCTTCCTGTTAGCTTTTTATATATATATATATATATATATATATATATATACAAACCATAGAAAATATAAGTATACATATAAGATGATACACATATTTACCTGCTGTATAAAACAATATATATACTATAAACATATAAAACAAATAATGAAGTATTAATATTGAAATATAAGTAATATATGAATCCATATATATGTACCTGTGTGTATATGTATCTATATATAACAGGATGCTCTTTCCTAATAATGACTGCTGCGGTATCGGAAGAGGACACACATTGTTCCTATCAGTGTAACATTTATTGAATAAAAAGGAAGGAAATAATAATAGCAATTTGGCTGAGAGTGAGAAGAGATCGTTGAGACCCATTCCTAGTGAGGTGGTGGGCTAGCTGGTACACCGGGGAGACACGGCTTCCTTCCTGCATCCAGGGATGCTGACAGAAGCTAGACAGGCTCTCCCTGCTTGTAGGTAACACGATGGCTCACTAACACCTTTAATTCTTCCTTGCCTTATTACCTACTTTGAGGCTGTTAAAGCAACCTGGACTTTTCCCACAAAGGCTGTTTGGGAGTGATTATGGTTTAGTAACAAAGTTACAGTCTTCTGCTTTCTGCTGTCTCCAGTCAACTATTCAGAGATTTTTTTTTTTTCTTTCAGTGACCCTTAAATTCTTATAGTTTATAATTCTTGGATTAAAACCAGATTTATTTTTTTTTTTCCCAGGAAAATGCAATGTTATTTTTATTAAATCTTCTGAAAAGGAAATCACTGTCATACCACACACACATTCCACTCAAGGACTTGAGCCTTGATGCTCATCTAGTATAATTTAAGTACTTAAAACAATGGGCCTTTCTCAGAGATTATTGCTTTGCTGGACAGTCATTAGGTCCAATTGCCAAGTGCAGTTGTGGGTTTGCTTTAGGTTTATTGCAGGGCACTGAATCCTGTTATCATATAATCGCTCTTGTTTGAGGACAATAGAAATGCTACAATTTCAGACATCCAAAAATTTTAGTACATACAAAGAGTCAATAGTAAATTAGAAACTAATTTTTTCATGTTAATTTCATCATACTTAAAGGAAAAAAAGATAAAAGGTTCATTGTCCTGAACTATCACTGTGGTTTGTTACACACTGACTATTAGATTTGCTCCAGCTTGAACAAGGCAATTCTTAAGTTTTATTTTCCAAACTAGACAAACTGCTTTTATCTCATATTAGGGTAAGCTGCATCATTAAATGCAAAGTAATCTTAGAAATAGTTTGAAGCCAATACTAAAATTACAACATAATTGATTACAATTGCTTCTTCTCCTAAGAAGGATAAAAGCAAATAATATTTCTTTCAAGTGTCTTTAATTTTCAGTACTTTGTATAGACTTATGTCTGTTTGCTGAACTCTTACTGTAAATCTATAATTTAGCAAGTTCCTCTCTGTCATGCTAGAAATTAAATTCAGGTTTTATGACTAAGATTTTTTTCTCAATCATTTCCTGTCCCAGTAGCAAGTTTTGTTTTCTGACAGGCTTCATTTTGCTCTGGTTTTGCATATGAAAATTCCCCAGAAGCCATCTCAGAGTGGACGATACCAGCCTGGATTCCCACTGCTTTCTCTGGTGGGGGTGTGTTTAAGCATTATTTTGTTGCTCATTAGAGGGCCTGAGGTAGCTGCCGTGTGAGTGGGAAGGGACCTTCTTATGTAGTCATAAGGTACCCACATCCTTTTTCATCATGTAACAGGGCAATCATGCATCCTGCAACAATCTGGGAAGGAATGGAAGCAGAAAATACTGCAGCTACCATTGAGAGGTAAAATTTTAATACAGTTTGAGATTTGAATATCAGAGATACCCAGTGTTCTCAGTACTGTCTTTTCATTTTTAAAAATACAATATAGATGACAGTTCACCATTTCAAGAAGTTCAAAGGTTTTTCATTTTAGAGTTTGGGCTCTAGCTTTTGAAGAGATCTTCGTTTTGTAACATCTCAAATTATAAGGCAGTCAAAAATAACACTCTGGCTTTCCTAACGCAAATTTTTCTCCCATTTCCTCATCTTACAGAGCTGGTCACAAAAAGTCCTGTTTTGCCTATAGTATTCATTAGTGCATTATAGCTCCTTATATTAGACTAGGTTTTTCAAGTTAGCCCTTAGAGAGATTGCAATTCCACTTTGTAATGATTTTACTATTGGAAAAGTTCATCTAAAAAGATGCCTGGAAAACAGTGAAGGCACTAAGGGAATTCTTTTCTTCTTGAAGTATCTATCACTCCATGGTAGAAAATCAGAGGGATATGTTAAGCTTGCTATGTCCTCTGTCAATCTTTTGTTTGATTATTACATTATCAAGTTGCTTGCACTGTGAGAGATTAAAACAGATAGGTAAGTGCAAAGCATAGAGTTATAGAGCACTTTGAATATAAGTCAGACATCAAACTAGTTTTTGAAGTGCAGAACTACTGAGCTTTCGCTTTGTCACACAAGCAGATGTTGCTAGAGGCAAGGAGGAAAGGAGCGATGCATTTTTTTTTTTTTTTACTTGGCTGCTGAACCTTGCACTACCTGCAGAACCAGACTGTGTACAGCTACTGGTTAGATGCCTTTCAAACCTGTCTTCTGCCTCAGGGCTGTCAGATGTGTGGCTGCAGAGAGGGGACAGGCTTTCCTATCGTCCCTCTGTAACTTTTGGATGTGGTGCTCACTGCAGTAAGTAAATGGTTGGGCTGCTTTAGACTGGGGGAGAGCTTTATTAATTTAGGAGTCTGACAATATTATTCTTCCCTTTTGCTCTACTTTAAGGAGAGTTCTGCCCAGTATGGGAATGAACTACTAATGAGCAGAGATGAAATATCTCATCTAGAGAGGAAGACTTAATCCTGGATACAGTTACTCAAAATCATGGTGCAGGTTAATTTATCTGGAAAGATCTAAACAAAACTATTTGCCATACATATTTCTTTTTACTAACTGTGGCCTGCTATTTGTACGTTCTGGCTACCCTTTAATGTTGGTGGGGATTTGTCCACCGGGGAATCTTTGTCTGGTAACTTTCCTATCCCATTACCCGAATGTCCATTTATTCTGCAGAATCCAAGAAGCATCCAGTAAGTTACTCTCTGTACCCAATGACCTGGCTAGGGACCCTGGCTCTCCAGGTAATTACACTCATGACTCTCACTGTTCAAGTTAAAAAGTGCTTCACTCTCTTATTTACATCAACCTTTAAGTAAACCTACCTATACCTTTTTTAACAGATGTGAAAGTACTATAAAGGCTTGTGATACAAGGTGTCAGGGGTTTCAACAAGCATCAATAGAACTGCACCCATCCGCCTAAAACATAATAAGCTGTACATCATTCCCTACATATTTTCTTCTTCCTGGGCATGCATCATATATACCTCCACTGGTATATATGCAGATACCTCCACTGCTATTGTATATATCTCCTTATAATAGGGTGTCCAAAACACCATGCTGGAAAATCATCTTTGTGTATCTTACAGAGCAATGACGGTTTGAACTGGTGGAATATTGGGGGCACCAATATTCATCCATGCAGCTGCTTCAACCCCATGTTAGCATAGAACCTGTGTATCATGGAAGGAACGGACAGCAAGGTTAGCACTCGCAAAGGGAGGTGCGTTCTGGAGGGTGACCTAATGCAAATGCCACAGGTACAAAAGTAAGGCAGTTCATTTGGGAAAGTTCATTTGTAAACAGATCCTATACAAGACTGTAACTGTACAGAGATGCACCTCAGCAGAAACCCTCTCTGAAGAAATGTGGAGCATAGTATTTTCTACTTAACAATTGCCCATAGTCTCTTTTTAAGCACACTTGGATATGCCTACTTCCGAAACAACTGTGCTATCTTCTTAAGATTTTTTGTTTACAAATAAATAAATAAATATTGGACATTGGATTTGTACATAAAATTATTTTTCCTCCAAGTATGTACATGGTCATGCCTTTTCCTGTTATGTGTAATCATTAGTGACCCTGTGGTCAATTATTAACAACATCTCACAGAAATCACTGCTAGATAGAGAAACATGAAAATCTCAAGAAAGAAGGTATCTGACTTCTAGACAGAATGCCTGCCTAAGACTGAACCTCATTAGGGAGAAGTCCTCCAGGCAAACATCCTCTCATTATTTATTGTCATGGTTTACTGAAGAATCCTTAGTGTAATTCACAATTGTTTTTTAAATAAATCTCTCTGTATGGGAAATGTGATATTCCAGCATCTAAGCAGCAGGGTTAGCTGAAAACAGAACAAGACCAAAATTTCACATTTCAGGGACTCATAAACAGCTTAGAGCCTGACAGTAACGCAACAAGAAGCAAAAATATGACTGACAACATATGGCTGAAAAGTTAAGGTACCAGTGGTTGTACAACATAATAACGAAGCAGTAAGACTGCAAAGCAAAAGCAATTAGCAAAAAAGTGTTGGTAATGAAAAATTATTTACAGTGTGGAATTTCTCTATAGGAGAAGGATAGTGCTGTGTTCATTATTAACATTTAAGGCACGAAGGCCTTCATTTAAGGCTTTGCTTTCCATCTTTTGTCCTGGTTTCTAGAGGGTCAGGTGAGCCTAGGGTCTCAAATGTTTTGAGGCACTCTGTTGTCCTGGAACATTTTGGCTAAGTCTCCTAGAGCTCAGCTGCTCATCTGGAAAATAGGGCTACTAGAGATTCTCATAGGGGGTACTGTGAAGGAGAGGGTGCTAAAGACTGGGCATGATTTATGAAATGGTTTTACTACAAATCTTTTCAAGGGGATGAAAGTCTGAGGGATTTTCCTTACAAATCTTATTCCATCAAGGGGTTAACTAATGTTTATGCCTAAGGTGAAAAGTGCATGACCATGATTTCCATTTTTTATTGCACTAAACTGCTGAGACCTGTTAAAGAAGTCCAGAATACGTCAGAAATTTCCATCTCTGATTAGAACAGAGTGAAGTTCCCTCCAAGGAGAAAATCCTCTGGTGTGATCCATTTTTCTTCAGTAGTTAAAAATTCTTGGGCTGATTCAGCATCATGGCTGATGAGTTGGCCCCTGGAAGACCTTACCTTTGTTGCTCTTGAGATGGCTGGAGGGGCAGCACGATGGAAAGTTTCTCTCCTCGCCAGAGGACGCACACACAGGGCAGCGCTTGCCAGGGCAATGTCTCCTGAATCCCTCGCTTGGCTCAGTGCACTGCAGCTACTACTACCCATAAAAGATTCATTCTCTTAAATTTCATATTTATTACTTTGCATAACAAGGTTTCTTTACTAAGGTAAATACTATAGCCAAACAAATGTAAAGCTGATGAGGATAAAGAGCAAAATAACTGAAAAGGGCTTTTTTACTCAGGGTGGTGAAAGGGGATATTAATACAAACAGATTGCTTTTTTTAGTGTACTTATTATAGAGTCATGCCCACTCTTTGCTGAATGCATACCTATGAGACTCTGTGTGTGTGTGCAATAAAACCCTTAGTTTATTAAGCATTTTCTTCTATTCTGCTATGTCAGTCTAAATTTACTTTGAAGGCAGCAATGATGGAATTGTTCAATATATTGTGTGCAGAAGGTTATGACCTCTGCAATCAGCCCCTGAAACACCGCTGTCTTTTTCCTTCTGGGGCAGCTGAAATGAATTATAAGGTAGCCTCATAAACTCATAATGTGTTACTAAAGCTGAGGCCTCTGAATATTCAGTACTTGAGCATCTTCGTATTCTTTCTCATTTCCAAAATATTTACAATCTGTACAAGATACCAAAAATCAAAATTGAACATACTATTTTTCCTGAATATCTTGTTTTTAAAAAAGTCTCAGTCCTAAAGTAGCTCAAATGAGTGATGGCTTTGTGCTTGTAAAAAAAAAAAAAAGCCACTGATTTCTGCATCCATTTGTGTACTCTCTTTGAAGGAGACATCTTAAATTTGCCAGGGTATGATATAGCAGGGAGACACAGATACCTCTGCCTGAGTGCTGGACCATGCTGTGGAGGACACACCTCTACACTGAGGCACAGTCCTAACCTGCAGAGGTGAAATGCTTTTGATTCAAAAGGGGGACAAGGAATACTCTCAATGAAAATCTGGGACAAAAGTAACACCCCAAATACCTTCTACTGCATATGAAGATCCTCTGTTTGGAGGAAGACTGACCCAGCCAAATTGGAACACCTAGTGTAACTTCTGCATGTCCACACTAATTAAACCTTGTTTCTTCATTCTGTATAACATTTGCATCTAAAATTATATCAATGGCCATAACAATGATCTTTTCTTTTTGTCAACTCTCTACAGAAGCAGCTCTACCTCCTGTCTGTGTTGTTACTAGCAGAGTAGCTCCAAATAATCAATCATTTTTCTTCCACACACAACGAAGGCCTATACAGCATCGAGATTGCCCATAAAGTGGTAATCAACAAACTGAAAGTCATAGAATCACAGAATGGTTTGGGTTGGAAGGGACCTTAAAGATCCTCTAGTCCCACCCCCCTGCCCTGGGCAGGGACACCTTCCCCCAGCCCAGGCTGCCCAAAGCCCCGTCCAGCCTGGCCTTGAACCCTGCCAGGGAGGGGGCAGCCACAGCTGCTCTGGGAAACCTCTGCCAGTGTCTCGCCACCCTCACAGGGAAGAATTTCTTCCTTAGATCTAACCTAAATCTACCCTCTTTCCGGTTAAAACCGTTACCCCTCATCCTATCCTTGCACCCCCTGACCAAGAGTCCCTCCCCACCTTTCCTGCAGCCCCTTTCCGTACTGGGAGGCCGCTCTAAGGTCTCCCTGGAGCTTCTCTTCTCCAGGCTGAACACCCCCAACTCTCTCAGCCTGTCCTCACAGGGGGGTGCTCCAGCCCCTGAGCATCTTTGTGGCCTCCTCTGGACCCGCTCCAACAGGTCCATGTCCTTTCTCTGTTGGTGCTTCCAGAGCTGGAAACAGCACTGCAGGGGGGGTCTGATGAGAGTAGAGTAGAGGGGGGAGAATCCCCTCCCTCGCCCTGCTGCCCACACTGCTCTTGCTGCAGCCCAGGACACGGTTGGCTTTCTGGGCTGTGAGCACACATTGCTGCCTCACAGTCAGTTTTCCACCCACTCATACCCCCAGATCCTTCTCTGCAGGGCTGCTCTCAATCCACTCCTTGCCCAGCCTGGATTTGTGCTGGGGATTGCCCCGACCCACGTTCAGGACCTTGCACTTGGCCTTGTTGAACCCCATGAGGTTTGCACGGTCCCACCTCTCACTCCTGCCCAGGTCCCTCTGGATGGCACATCCCTTCCCTCCAGCCTCTGCACCACACAGCTTGGTGTCAGCAGCAAACTTGCTGAGGTGCTCTCAAATCCCACTGTCAAATTGATGAAGTTTATCATTGGTGGCCCTTATTTGATAAAGTATTTAAACGCCAAAGGTTTAATAAAGCTGCTGTAAATATTTGGTGCCCATGGGTGAACATGGTTCAGACCCCTGTGTTAACACCACAGGTCTCACTTACTTATGGAGCTTGAAAACATTCCCAGCAGGATCCTCTGAACACATGTAACTCACATAATGTTTTAAAAAATAAAACCTTATTTATTCATACCTTGAAGGTATAGGGCCTTGAGGAAAATGTGTTAACATGGTGGAAGGACTAAAAGCCCAAGTTAACCTCTCCGTGCTCAGGGAAGAGCGTGCTGTCACTGAGTTGGGAAAAGCCAGGCTGTCCCACTTGCAAAATGTTCTCTTTGTTCTCTACATGAATCAGTTTGTATCTGCTGATAACCCACTTCTTTCCAAGGGTTTCAGGTTTTAGGATTCCCTTTGATGCTAGACTCACTGCTGGGAACAGTAAACCACTCTAACTTTGATGGGGCTATAATTGTTCCCTATAGTCAGCTATTCTGTTGTTTCCTCTAAAACTCGTTATTTATGTCACCATTTCATTTTGGGTAGGTTTCCTCCTTCATCTTTTCTGATTTAAATCATGCCAGTCACAAAAGTTATAAATCAGATAGCCTGAGAGGCATGCAATATTTTAATATAAAATATACATAAATTCCTCATTCTCTGTAACGTGTGACTAAAATTATACCAATGACCACAACAATGATCTTTTCCTTTTGTCACCTCTCTCTGGCAGCAGCTCAGGCTTCTGTCTGTGCTGTGACTAGCAGGGTAGCAGCAGTGGCAGCCTCTGCCAGAGTCACGAGGGCACAGAAATGGCATGGCCCGGGGCTGAGGGGTGTCTTGGTCTGAATGCATGTTGGTGCCAACACTTCTGAAGGTTTCAGTCTGTCTGGAGCATTTAAGTGTTACATCAGGCAGCTTAGTCTAGTAATGGTAACCTAAGCTACAAGCAGCAGGGAGGTATTTGTGCTGTGCTTTGCTTAGAGGAGTGTTCAGAGCCTGTGACACTGTCTGACACTGACTGATTAAGATACAGGTACTGTGGTGCTGTCAGGAAAGAAGAAAGAGGACTCACAGTGCTATTGTTGCTCATGGATCTCCAGCAGAGCAGCAACCAGACACCAGTGCACAGCAGCATCGTGCTCTACCACCTTTTCTGAGAATTACTGCCTAGCCAACCCTAAAGTGATTAGGAACACACCATTTTTTTAACACAGCCTCTCCCTCCACACAGACTGTATATCATAGGTGATTGAATCCTTATGACTGTGGAGGGGATTGTGATAGGAAGAGATGAGGGAGATGTTAGAAGGACAAAAATATAATGACTCTTATCAGGAAACCATTAGGAGGGCTGCTGCTGCAGCAAACAAGACTAGGACCTAACAAAGAGAGAAACAGAGCTACCTTGTTATGCTGCAAATATAGACTAATCTTAATTATCTCCATGGCTTTTACTTGTCATCTTTAAAAAGCATGCATTCAGATTTATCTCCCGAACCCTATCTTCTGGGTGTCCCCAAAGCTCACGCTATTAGTAGAATGGTCTATAGTAGAATGGTGAAGAGTATTGCTTTGCCAGACAAGAGAAAATTGCCAGGCAGCCTAGGACTTGGGGCTAGAATTTGTTTTGTTTAATTCTTAGGTCTTTCCCCAGCACAAGATGTAGAGTGTCCCCATGTACTTTTTCATCCCATCTTTGCAAGGGGTGAAATAATCATTTCCCTTCTCTTTAAGGGTGATGCTGAAGCCCTCAAAAAGAGTAACATATGTCTACTCAGGGTGTCCAGACTTAGGGCGGCTCTTCAGCTCAGATTTGTCTGTGGCCTTCTCGAGTCACCTCTCCTCCTTACAGCCTATGCAGGCAGGGAAAAGAGTCTCAGCTGTCTTCAGAAATCTGAGATCTCTGCAGACCCATGATTCTTTTTCTCATTTGTGTACCAAACCAGGCATGTTTCTGCTGTCTGTGTGGTGCCAGAAATGTCCTTGTCCTCCATGAAGCAGAGACCAGAGCGAACTGGAAAGATTTTGCTCTTCCTTCCACTAGGGAGGAGGCACTTGGGCTTCCAGGAGCCTCTATTTGCTACCACAACTGGGCTGTTTTCATCTCTGCTTTCTTAATAAATATTTAGTGGGCAATTCACATTTTCCCTCCTGCTCTATCTAACAGAGCTGATTATTACTAGGGTCAGGTGGTTACATGAGCTAATTAATATTCACAGGCAGCAGTAGGAAATAAGTACAAACCCCATCTCCTCAGCTTTAATTACAATATCAGTGCTATCAAATTCCATGTGGATACACTTCTCACATCAGCTCCAAACAATTTCAGATGTGTATACTAACAGGCTCCACAACATCTTTAACTCATGATCTTCTGTCATTACAATATAATTACTCTAATGCATCTTCACTGTGCAACACCCGCCAAAACTAACAACTGTTGAGTATAGCATGTAATTATAGAATAGAGATGTTAATGTAAGCGTTCAGCTTACAGTGACTTGCAGTTTTTCTACCAGTCCCATTATTCAACATTTGTGGGCAACCTGACTCCCACCTGCTCCCCTTCCTTCTCTGTATTTACTTTATGAAACATTTATGTTATTAGCACTGAGAAACCCCAGGTGGCACTGAAATCCCAGTGGGAATCCAGCATAAGAGTCAAGTGGCAATAAATTGTCTCACCTTGGTTAGCTCTGGATATAGAAGAGGAATAGAAGGTGGTGAGTTAGGGAAAAGCAACTGTAGTTTGCACCTCGCTGAGGTATGGGTGAAGATCTGGGCCTTGTGTAGACATGGTAAAAGAGGTTAGGAGAGATTTGACAGAAAATGTGGTATTGTCTAATTAAGCTAGCAAATATGCCTTGATTAAGTGCTCATGGAGGTCGGACACAAAAGTCAGCTAGTTAGGGAGAACGTGGTAAGCTGCAAAGGGTCTTTGTGGCAATGAGAGATGCTTGTATTTCATAAGAGGTAAAGGATGAGCCAGTGGAATAACTTGTCAAGTGTCAAGCCATGAAGATGATTTAAGCCTCTCATTTCTACCACTGTAGAAAGGGAGGAACAAAGTACTCATTTTAAAGAGATAAAATGGGATGAATCTTCAGAACTACATAAGAATTGTCAGATGAGAACTAGCTGCAGGTGTAACTCACATTGCACCATACAATGTATTCCTGTGTCTCTGCAGAGATTTACAAAACCCTCTTAGTATATCTATTTAATCCTGTTACTTTTCTTAAATGACAATCATTTAAAACTGCATAATAGCATCTGTGTTTGGTACATTTGTCTTTCCATGTGATAACAGTCACTGTGATTAAGACATACATTATCAAGACCTGAAAAAGAGAGTTCTACAGGAATGACGTTACATTGTCACCTATCCAAGTTGTAATTGGTGTTTAACTGTAGCTCTGCAAGCAAACACAGAAAGACAAACAACGACGAGACCTCTGGTTTGACTGAAAGAGGCTAAGACCTCTGGTTTGTCTAAGAGAGGAAAAACCAGGAGAGATAATATATGAAGTTTTAGGGAAGAAGCATTCTTTCCCTGAAATGCAAAGGCCCTTCTTGAAACTGAGAGAGGTAAAACATGGGAGAAGTGCCGCTGTTTCTTGGAGCTGTGCTTCATCTCTGGGAAGTCATCTTTTGAATGGAAATGGAAATTAAGAGCTGCCAGGCTGATTTTTATCTCTATGTATTACCCGTCCAATTTATACTGTACATGTTTGCTAATGTTCTGTAATATCCCAGTTAACTCTGTTGTTTGCATATTAACTGTTTTGTGTCCCAGATGCTCACACAAGGATCATAAATATTTAATGAAAGATATAACGATCACTTTCAACAGTATAAACTATTCTTTTCCCAAATATCTCCCTCTGTTCTTGAAGAAGACACAAAAAATCCCTGAAGAACAACTTTTGAATGAGGTTTTTTTTTTTAGCATCAGCTGACAGGAACATGGAGGAAGCAGTTCCTGGGCCAAAGTACTTCCACAACAGTCACTTGGCATCTGAACCCAATGGGTTTACCTTTAGGGGTAGCTCCCAGGCTGATTCTAGCCATGGACAGATAGGGATAATGCAGCTTCAACTTTGCTAGAAGCTAGCACGTAATTCTGAGTGTTTGAATTCAGGATTTGGCTCTCTACTAGGGTTTCATGAATAAGAATAAGGGCAATACCTATTGTTCATACATGCAGTATGTATACTCCACACATGGAACTGGAGAAGGATTTTGCAAGGGGACAGGATCTGTGGTTTTACAGGTTGTCATCTCTAATTATTGGGAAGGCTCCCTGGTTCTGGAAAGTTCAGGATGTTCCAGAATGGAAAAGGAAAATATTGTTCTACTTTACCATGGCACTGGCACTGTCAGGTGATTCATAGGCTCTGGAGAACACAGACATTACCAGCTCAGCGCATCTATATACCAATCACCATTTGTCATATGTGAGTACTTCCCACAGTCCTAAAAAGGGATTTGTTTTGTGTATTATTTGTAGGAAATGTAACAAACTCCATACCGAACAGCAAAATAAAAACAGCACTTGATTGTTTTATTGAATATTTGCCTATTTACTTGGGAAAACTTCACTTCAGGATTTTTTTTTATACTGTCTAATAAAAGGACCCCCACAGCTGTCTTCTTTGTGGAGAAAAGCTGTCAACATCCAATATCATTTTCTGCACACTGAGTGAAGTACTTGAAAGTCCCAGTTCCATTTTAATATGAGATGCTCTCCCATTTGTATGCAGCTGGAGAGAGTAGTTTTATCCTCATTTAAAAAAGCCATATGATGGATTTCTTTCTTTAAAGAAATACTGTCTCAAACTTTGCTTTTTTCTCTCTTTCCCCCAGCATACACCTTTCCACTCTTGTTAAGCACCACTGTGCTCAAATCACTGCATAGTGTTGACATCTCACTCGTTATACATAGAATGATGCCAGCACCATTTCTTTTTTGATGTCCCTGTGCATGATCTACTGGAATAATTCCTAGATTAACTGTTTATTAATATGATTTTTGAAAAACCGTTGGTAGGGAAATTTCATCACACTGCCTTGAATAAGGCCTTCACTAATCTTTTCTGATTCTGGGAACTGCCAGCTTCTAATCCTATCCAAAGCCTTCTCCAGTCCTGATTCTGCAAACACTTTGCCACATAGGAGTAGTCCTACTACAGCCAGAAGGCTGATGTTGGGTATTGGATAGTCAGTACTCTTTCCTATGCGAGTGCCAAATTCAGGTGCATTGTCAGGTACTGCAGAGCGAGGTGTGCCCCGGCCCAAGGACCCCAGGCAAATTCCTACAAATGACCTGCAAATGACCAGAGCACAAGGTTGCCATTTCACCTAGTCTGCATGGAGGGACACAAAGAGGGACAAGTTACCAACCTGCAGCTTTGACCACCCTTGCTTTCATGTATATGCACATACAGACAATATTTATCTCCTGATTTCTAATAAAATTTGCTCACAACTGATTGCTGGTGAGTTATTACAGTTCTTGAATATTTATTAAATGTGTGTTTTGAGAGCTGTAATAATTCTTATTTACCACACTAAGTGCAAACTTCATCCTAATTATATGCGTATCAGAGACTGTTAATCTAAAGTGCTGTTAGCTTTCTTCCATGTTGGCACAGGAGAGAAGGCCGTTCGATGCAAATGTAGTGACATCTCATAGCACCAGTCAGTTGTGCTCAGTCCTTCCACAGCTATTAAATCTGATGCAGTGAAATGTTGTTATGGGTAGCAGGGAGCATCTTTAATGTCCACAGCTATTTTTAATGTCTCTGTCAAGAGGAAAGATAATAGCTGTGAAGGCGCAGGGAGATTTTGTGTAACAGATCCACAAAGCTTTGAACTCTGCACACACCATGACTTAACACTGTACATAAGCTTCAACACATCCTGACACTATAAAAGTCATGGTTAAAACCCAGGATATCTGAAGGTTATAGAACATTTAATGGCTTCAGAGTAAACAATATACTACCAAGAATGAAGTGCCAAACATTATCAACCTCCCACTTTGGATATGCCACATCTCACAGGCTGAGAACGACTAACCCAAAAAATCTCAGATGGCAAACCACCAAGCAGCCAAGCTTGAAGTGATGTTAGCAATTCAGTTTGAAGTGCTTCATCCAAGAAGTGAGCACGGAGAAGTTCCCCAGACGGTGCTTGGAGGTGCTTTCACTCAAAGTCAAGATCTTTGCTCCACGGTTATGGTTTGCAGAGAATAAAAAAAGAGTATTCTCAAAATTTTCAATGGAATTAAAATGATGCAAATTTTATATTGGAAAAATTAGGTAGTTTTGGTATTGCTTATTTTGTCTGAAACAAATGGAGTCAACTGTACAAATCTTGGATGAACCTAGGAAACATCCCATTATGAAAGCAGCAGATCTGAAAGCCTCAGGGGTCCTGGGGATGTTTGTTTCTCACCTTCCAATAGAATAGCAACCTCAGAAATATGGACATCCATACTTCAACCAGAATTATTGGTATTTACAATGCTGAGGGTGGATAAGAATGAGCCACTACTGGGTCGGCTTTCCTAGGGCTTCCAGGCTTCCAGCTCCACAGGCCAGGGGTTGGGGCAGTAGTTAAGGTATCCAAAGTCTTTGTTGTAAAGAGAGGAGTCAAAGCTGCAGGAGCTCCCACTTGGGTCAGAGACCTCAGAAATTCAGGGTTTCCAGCTCTGCCAGAGAGACGTGGAAGACAGATGAGCTCTGGGTTCATCTCCTAGCTGAGCTGCAGGGAGCCTGCTAGGTGCCCTGGAATCAGAGAAAGGCCACACAGGTCTGCTGCAGAGCAATGAATAATGGAGACTTGCCTGTGTTTTGGCAAGTAAAAAAACAAAACAAAACAAAACAAAAAACCCAAAAAACCAAAATCCCTAAAGACCCAGAGAATTTCCTGAGAAATAATTTTGTTTTCAGTAACTCAGCATTTTCTAAGGAAGCACTGCTTACTGGAAAGTTTTTGCCTGTTTCCATCTGGGAGGACATTATTCAGATGGACATGACACATTTTGGATCACACAAGGGAATGATAAATTTGGTCTTCTTGCCAAATTCCATCCAGCAGATAATTTCCTACTTATTTAAATCCACCTCACAACATTAACAGTGCATTTTTTTTAGCTCACATTTTGTCCTGCAGCTCTTGGACTGTTAAATATTTTCTGCTCTTCATCACCTGTGTAGCTGCATTTCCCGGGGTTCAGGGCTACATTGGAGAGCATGGTATCTGTATATATATGAAGGAGAGCTTTGGGGTCTGCAAAATAATTTGTGTCACTGCAAGATCATCAGTGCTACATAAGGATTATCTTTAGTACCTGAGAAGTTTTTGCATAGCAAAGTTTAATCCCACACATAGACTAGCCGGTATGTCAAATTATTTTATGCCGTTATGGTGCACAACTGCATTACAGAGTAGCTGTTTTATTTTTCTGTCTCCTCAGGAACACTTACTACTACAATGAAGATACTGCATTGACTCCAACTAAGACCCAGGACCCTATTGTGCTAGGCACTATAGCAACAGACAGTAAAAGGCAGTCCTTGTTCCTAAAGACCTTTCTGTCTAAACAGATGAGATGTTGTCAGAGATTTATCTTTTATTCTTCAGTTTATAACAGTTGCAAAACAACTTGGATGAAGAATAACAATTGCAATGAATAGGCTGTGATGATACTGGCTCTGGGATGAACCCATACGGAGGTGGGAAACCCCAAGCCATTAAAAAAATATACGGGTGCAATCCTGAACCAACTGAAGTAACATGAAAACTCCTCCTGACTCTAATGGGAGCCAGGATTTCCCATCTCTGTTCCCATTTCACCCGGTACGTGTCTGCATAGCATAATGCAGCGTTATGCAGTGATATTTCCAAATTTGCTTGGTACTAAAAGTAGAATTGCAGTATTGATATACTGTTCCTATCAGAGTAATAAACCCAACCAGAGCACTGTGCTGTTGTTGGTAGATGGCTTCTAGTGCTCACTCAGTGCTCGCTCACTGATATTTCTAAGAGACTTCGCATGGTGCCATGTAGACACAGCCACAGCTCTGTTGAAGCTGTGGGGTTCTTCTATAGAACTGTCTAGGAAAATGTTACAGGTAGTGGGTTCACAGGCTGCCTGGATTCACCAGCCTGTCACAGAACTACCGACCTACCACTGATAGTAAACTGAAGGATTAATTGTGTTCTACAACACTTTATGGCCCCCAGTGCAGGGGCTGTTTAGGTGACAGTGAATTCCCTTAACAGACTGTATTTGTTGCCACAAATTCTTTCTCTAAAGGATAGAGACTGAAAATACTCCTGAGGTAGAGCTCATAAACAGACATATCTCCTGTTCTGGTCTTACTATGTTTTATTATTTACTTAAATTGCAAAGCTCCCCAGAACTAAGAGGAGACTCAGGTAACTTGTTTTTATCTTTTGCAACTGATGCAATGCACATTAAAGCCGAGTTCATTACGACTTCAGAGATGCAGGTCTGTTTTCTGAACATTCTGACTATGAATATAATATAATGGAGGTTTGGGTGATGCTCATTTTGAACCCCTGAGTTTATCATAAGATTAACAGTATTATTTTGCAGAACAAGCAGTAGCACCTCACCAAGGGTATAATCACCTCAGTCAAAAAACAAATAAGCTTTTACTTAATGTGCTAAAAATATAGTTGAGAAACCTTCAATCTCAAGCTGTGTGATAAAATAGACTGTGTTGACTGAGCAGATCAGCAGCTGCTGCTGTTCAGGCTCCTTCACCCTAACAATGCTTGCCTTTCTCTCTCCCCACCAAATTTAGAGATGATGTCAGTGTAGCCAACCCCAGGAGTTCAAAAATCAGAAGACAAACCAAAATAGAATCACAGGATGGATATCAAAGCCATGGAAGTTATTGAAACTGAAGCGTATGATTTGGGGGGTCAGCCTTTAGATTTTTTAATTCATAGGAGACGGCCTTCTCCCTTCCAGTTGTGTGCTCAGTTCTCCTGGCTGTCTGATATGCCCTATTTCAGAGTGAGAGGCAACACAGGACAATGGGAAGCACAAAGGATTGGGAATCTATTTAAAGTTTATATAAAGCTCAAGTCTGCACCACCTTAATCCTGCAAATACCTTATCTGAATGCTCAACTTGATTCGTACAAACAGCCCCGTGGAAACTGGTGAGGGTCCTCTCATACTTGAAGTTTGCCACTTATGTAAGTTACTATTGCATGTCAGAAATGTTAGCCTGTGTCACAGTATTAAGAATTAGCTAAGAATGAAGAGGTCTGTTGATCAGTTTTCTCTGTGATCTTGGGCAAGTCCTGAATTATTCTATATCCCAGCTTCCTGCTCTTTAAAAAAGGGGGTAAATTTTGCCTCTACAGGTACTTAAAAGCCTCCAGACAAAAGATAATAAAGTTCAGATAATTAATATATTGTCTTCTTC